CTGTGCCCTCGTGCCCCCCCCATGTGCTTTGCCACGGCAGCTGGCAGCCGCGGGCCCGGCGCCATGGTGGAGTGTGCGGCCATGGACGGCACCGGCCGCAGAGTGGTCTGGAGGAAAGCCCGGGCTCCCACTGGCCTCGCCTTTGGGGGTGCTGGCAGCCGGCTGTACTGGGCAGACCGCGGTGAGTGTGGGCTGAGCCGGGGCACCGCTGGGGATAGCGGTGGTGCGGGTGCTCGGTCCGCAGGGCACAGCCTGGCACAGCTCCAAGGGGCAGCCCAGAGCCCTCTGTGCCCCCACATCCGATGTCCCTGCATCTGTGCCCTGCAGAGAGAGGCACCATCAGCAGCGTCGAGCTGGATGGGTCCCGCTTCCGGGTGGTGCGGGAAGGGCTGCACGGCCTCTCGCTCTTCGCCGTCGGAGAAGGCTTTCTGCTCTGGAGCACGACCTCAACCAACGGTGAGTCCGTTTGCTGTGCTTTGTCCAGCTCCTCCTACTGCACCAGGACACAGGGGCCTCTGCCAGTCCCTGTGGGGTGCAGGCTGCCCCACCCCGGGGTGAAGGGCAGGCTGGGGGACCCCACCTCCCATCCTGGGCATCCTTGCGGGAGGAGGTGGAGCAGTGCTGACCCCATGTGTCTCCAGGCTCCAGCAAGATCTGGCACAGCCGGCTGGAGCGGGCCGAGAGCTGGTGGTTCCCAATGGAGCAGGAGTTGGTAGCCATGAGGATTTACAGTCAGTTCTCGCAGGAAGGTGGGTCTGGGGCTGCCCCAGCCCAGGGCACCTGGGGGGTTGAGCCGTGCCCTGTGGTGTCCATGCTAACCCATGCTGTTTTGGCAGGCACCAACGGCTGTGCGAAGAGCAACGGAGGCTGTGCCCAGCTCTGCCTACCCAACCCTGCAGGGCGGCTGTGTCGCTGCTCCCCCGGCTACCACCTGGTGCGTGGGGTGGCATGCACGCTGGCAGTGCCCTGCCCGACCCCGCTCCAGCCCTGCCCTGACCTCCGGAGCTGCATCTCTGGAGAGCAGGTCTGCGATGGGCACCCTGACTGCGCCGACGGCTCCGATGAGTCTGACTGTGAGTGCCTGCCCGCAGCCGGCGCGTGCAGGGGTCCTGGCTGGGCACAGCGGGGGCCTGCCCAGTCTCCCCCAGTTCAGGAAGAGGGTCTCATCTGGGTCTCTGCTGATCTATGCCCATCCCTCTAGGCTCCTCTGTGGAGGTGAGGAAGCAGGTCCCCACGGTGGCACCATCAGGAATGTCCCATGTGGAAGAACAGAAAACAGCCTTACCCACAGCTGCACTCAAGCCTCAGCAGCCCAGCCCCAGCCTGCCCACAGCCCCGGGCCCCCGGAAGCATGGAGAGCCCTTCCTGGTACCCCCCAGCACTGAGGAGGTGCTGGGGGCCATGCCGTGCAGCAGCGAGACGTGTAACCTGCGTGGGGACTGCGCCATCGAGGGTGGGCGAGTGACGTGCCACTGTGCCCTGGGCTATCGTGGTGACTACTGTGAGGAGGCAGAGGTGCAGCCGGTTGCAGGACCTATCGCCCTGGGGGTGGCCGTGCTCCTGCTGCTCGCTGCAGCTGCTGTGGGGGCCCTGGCTTACATGCGGAGGCGGGACAGGCGGAGGAGGTGAGCTCTGGGGCTGGGCTGGGCCAGCTACAACTGAGGATGGAGAGGGACAGGGTCTCCCTGCCCAGGGACAGCCTGGTGTCCTGAAGCACTCCTGGGCTATGTGGAAAGCTCCCATCACCCCTGCAGGCTGTTACCGGGGGTTGCGGCAGGACCTTGGGATCTGCCCCATCTCTAGGAAATGGCCATGCCATCCTCAGTGTACTTTTTTTCCTCCCCAGGACCTCAAGCACTGCCTCCACCCGGGTGCTGACCTTGTACCACCGTGAAAGCGACCCTGAGGAAGAGGACGAGGAGGAGGAAGAGCTTCCCCCCAAGAGTGATACCTTTGTCAATGAAGCTTACGATGGGAAAGAGGTGAGCAGCATCTGCAGCAAGCCCTGGTAGGGACCCCCCTGCCACCCTGGCGTGCCCCAAGGTCCCCCTGATATGCAGATCCCTCCCCAGGCCCAGCGCTGGCATGGTGCCCACTGTTGAGGCAAGCTCTGCCCTCCTGCTGGGGGAGAGGGGCAAGACCTGGGGGTGCCTGGAGCCTGGCTGGTACAGGGGCTGCCTGTGGCTGGAGCCCCTGTGCCAAGGTGTGGGGTGGGCCCAGGGAGGCTGGCTCAGACTCACGCCTGATGCACCCATCTGTGATCTCTGCAGGAGCTGCCAGCCCCACTGAGGAAGGGACCATCTCGCCCTGACACTGTATTTTCATAAAGGAACGTTGTGCAGCATCTCTGGTGCCATTGTGGTTTGTGTGTGGGCCGGGGAGGGGAGGCTGGTTTGCTCTTCCCGGATCTCTAAGCTCTGGGGAACTTACAGTCCAGAGCAAAAAGCTTTGGGAGGTTTCTCAGGAAGTCTCCAGCCCCAACACACTCTCTGAGCGACCTGAATCTGATCCCCCACCGCAGGGTGCATCCTGTACCATCCCTTAACCGCACTTGGAGCATCTCAATCCACCGTCCCTCTGCAGCAAGGCTTAGCTTGCTGACTGGGGTGCTTTGGGCTCACCTGGGGTAGAAATCTGGCCGAATAGTTCTGCAAGGAAGCTGGCTCAGCTCTTGCCCTGTTATGCAGGGTGCTGAGCAGGATTTTATAGTGCAGTTCTGGCGTCCTGAGTGTCCCCTACAAACCAGTAAGACCAGTTTTACTGCCTCGCACCAAGCTAATGATGAAAGGGGAAATATACGCTACTTTTTTTCCCTGCGATCTCTTTTTTTTTTTTTTTGTCTCCCGCTGAAGTGGCTGTGGTCAAGGAAGGAGAAACCTCTTCCAGAGCTGATTTTGACCATGGGGGAAAAGCCCTGGAGGAAGGTGCTATAAAAGCCACCCGTCCCCTTCTACAGACCTTTCCTCCCTGCTTCAGGCAAAAGCACGGGAGAGCTGGGTTAGCAGTACCCACTGGCTCTAAGCCGAGCCTGCCTGGCAGAAAGCCCATAACCATCCCACAGCACAGACCCGTTGCTCTTCATTTATTTTGCTCTTTGCACAGCCCTGAGGTGAGCAGAGATGTGTGGGAGGTGCTCCCCTCCCCTCTTCCCAGCCCTGAAGGCTACACGGTGCTAACCTGCACCTTGCTCATGTGGGAACACCGGAGCTGCCTTTGCCCAAGCTGCTGCACAGTGCAGGAGGATGAGCTAAAAGCTACATGGAGGGGCTGGAGCCAGGGCTGGTCCTCAACCCAGCATGGCTTTGGCACAGTTGTGGGATCTGGAGCACAGCAGGCTTTTGAGGAGGTTGCAGAGATTTAAGCCAGGTCCTTAGTCTTGTTTCCAGCCTGCTCTGAGGTGCCCCAAGAGAAAGGCGTGGCTCGGAGGGGCAGGGGCCAGCGCTGCTCTCTGCGCCAGGTAGGTGGGCTGGCCCGTGCCTGCTGCTGTCCCTGTGCTGGGGCTACAAGTCGGAGTCACAAGGCAGGGTGCTCCTCCAGTGTTGTCCGTCTTGCTCGTCCTCCAGCACGTCCCAAGGATTGCGGTAAGCCCCAGGGGGGGAGCACGGCCCAGCCTCCAGCACAGCGCTGGGGGGCAGTTTGGGGGCCCTGCGCTCCTTGCAGCAGTGGTGGAAGCTGAGGGTGAGGGCCAGCCCCCCCAGGATCTCCAGGCAGCTTCCCAAGTAGTTCAGCACCAAGCTGTAGCCTACAACCAGTGTGCTGCGAGCCGGTGCGGGCAGTGCCCACAGCTCATGGGTGTACCAGGAGGCAGGCACGAGGCTCAGCAGCCCCGAGAGGAGCAGCACAAGCCCTGCCACGCCAGCCAGCAGGTGCCGTGGCTCCTTCCGCCAGCAGCGAACCCCCAGGGCGGCCACCACCAAGCCCAGCAGGGTGAGCACCAGCGAGGTGGGCATCAGCCCTTGGGCCACCCGCACGGGCACCTGTGCAAAGTAGCCCAGCTCATCAGCCTGCCCGCAGCGGCGCTCGTGGCTGCTCTGCTGCTCTCTGCACATGTCCCAGATGCCCTGCTCCAAGACGAGGTCAGCAGGCTGGTCAGGTAGGAGGCTCACCTGCCTCCAGCTGGGGGTCAGCGTGCCCGTCAGCGTCAGCAGGAGCCCGCAGGGGCACAGCACCAGCCCCACGATCATCGCTGTCGGCGTCCGCATGCCGGGGAGGTGGGTGAAGCGGGCTCCAGCGTGCTCCTGCTTGCCAGAGGCAGGGAGGTCCGGGGGGGCTCCGGGGGAGCAGGGGCTCGCTGCTGCCGCCCCTCACCTGGGCAGAAGAGGTGGCCCTGGTGCCCCAGGGCTGCTCGGTGCAGGCAGGGGGATCCGGCGGTCGGGCAGTAGTCCCAGGGCCCCCCGTGCGGTGGGCGAGCCCGCTGAGCCGCCGCTGGCCGCAGCCCTGGCTGTGCCCGGGGCCGCGGGGGGGGGCC